GGGGGGGGGGGTGGGGGGGACCAGTGGTGGAGGTGGAGTCCTTTGCTCAGGCTAACTATTTTACGATTAGTTTAACATATTACTTTATTCTACAACAGTGTCTCATCTGGCTGCATCAACACGTTTCTCAAATCTATTTTGATCAGTTATACGAAATTCCCTTCTCAAAAGTCCATCACGTTGATTTCCCCCTGTTGCTGAAGGGTAAAATTGAGCGTCACGAAACTGCTGTTTCCCTTAAAAATACACACATTGCGATAAAGCCGCGGTCTTACACCTGCTGAAGCACATTATTTATTTATTTTTTTTACTTTTTATTTATCTATTTTTTTATATAACTCATTTCCTTTAATTATCTAATTTCATGATTTTTTTTCCCAGAGACCTCAAAGCTTCGCGGAATCCAGAACGTCGTCGGATAAGTGAATTTCTTAGAGCTTAATCACTCACCAACGGCAACACAACACACTTAACCCTTTAAGTCGCAAGAGTGACCAACATCAATTTTCTCCTCACAACGTCAGTACATTATCAAAAGAAAAGGTTAGGAGAGTTAAAAGAATGATCACCTCAGGGAAAAGGCTTTGATCTTTAACCAAATTCTCTCAACTAATTCTTGAAGGAAATGTATGGGGATCAGTTTGGAGAATTTGTAAGTGGATATCGGGGATTGAAGGGTTAACAGTTTTACATTACACAACCAACCTTGCTTAATCTCTCTTGTATGGGATCTGTGACAGCTAAACTAACTTTGGCGAACGGTCGGCTAGCCATCACCTTCATCTCTTCAACACGATGCTGCAAAGAAATGGTTGATTACTTTATATCTCGAAAAATCAGATCTATGGACAGAATTGCTATGGTTTCAGAAAAAAAAAAATGGAATCATAAACATCACTTTCCTGTATTGTGTAATTGAAACAAAGCTCAGTATGTTAGATACAAGAATCGTTTTCAATAAAGCCCTAGCTTCAAAAAGTATGTACTTTGCCAACCCATTATACCTGTATTTAAATGAAAGTGAATGCAAAAAGGAGTTCTCAAAAAACCGAAAAGTTGGTTGGAAAGCTTAGGGCTTGATTGCTTACCGTGGAGTAGCTATCCAGTATTCTGTCGTATTTTGAATTTGTATCGCACTTTTCCGAAAAATTAAGGTACTGCTGACTTGAAACAACAGAAACTGCTTTAAACAATGCAATGCCAGAATTAAATGTGGTTACGTCACAACTTGAGTTTCATGTCAAACTTCTCGTGGACTAACCATCCCCCCACACATCAATTTAACTTTTACATTGCCTTCGTTGAAAATACTGTTTGTGTTCTCAGAGATTTTAATCAAAGTTTAAAAGATCTGTGTCATGGTAAGTTCCACCTATGTTTGATCAAAGCTGAGCTGAAACTATAACTAAAGCTGTAAGTGTACTCAGTCGCCTTTTTCCATTCTTGGAACTCTAAAAAGTTGACTCAATTTTTACATGTTGCAATCCGTTTCCATTCTGGCCACCGAAGGCCAAAGAGATATAGTCATCGTTGAGGTATAGTAGTAGAGTGTTATTTTGAATAAACCATTGTTCACGAGTCTTATTTATAGCCTGAGAAAACAGCCCAGATTTCACGACGACACCACCGGTATTCCAGCGAAATGACGTCTGAGCAAAGACCGCAGAAATTTCTTACTGATAACGTTCACTACCCAGATCTGGGTAGTGGTCCTGACTGGTCGAAGTAACTTTCTCTCGCGACTCCACCAATCAGGAGCACTAACTAGGTCTGGGTCATCAGCATGGAATTTTGTAGTCGTTGCTCAGACTTCACTTTGCGGGGAAACCAGTGGTGGCGTCGCGAAATGTAGGCTGTTTTCTCAGGCTACCTCCATCCCAATGTGTTTTCAGGCTTTTAAGATAATACTAAGAAAATTGGGACACAGCTCCTCAAATTAAAATTAGGATTATTTTAGGCTTAAACCTGGAAGCCGTCTTTTTCCAGTCAGCTGAGTCGAGTTTTGGCGAGACTTGGAAATCATGAGTCAGTCGGTTCTATTTTCACGAAAAAGAATTACACCTTGGATGAGCTGCCGAGCTGAAATTTCTTATACATATATGGACATAACGCCCTAACGAAGGACTTCTAACAGCCTATTTTGGGTGTCTACCGTTACTAGACTTTCTCAAAGCCCGTTTCGATTTCTGCTTATCCAGTCGACTCGTGTTAAGTCTAACTGTTTCGCATGGTAAAGGATCTACTTCATCTAAGCTGGAACTTGATACTTCCGTAAACTAGTGCTTCGGATACGTTGCGTTGACTACTTAGACTTACTCTTGCCATCATGTAGGTTGAATATCGGACCTTGATCTTCCATGCCAAACCCACTACGAACAACAGTGAGAAGAAACACCTACAAAAAGGAATAAAATTATGATACAACCAGTAACAAAGACAGACTGGCAATCCGGGAGACCAGTGAACCAAACAACACTCGCAGCAAATACCGACAAAGTATCTGGCACTATGCGCCGGTAAACAATATGGTGACCATTTATTACAGTGAATTGCCAAAAACTTCGCAATTCACATAATCTTTCAAGTCTTTTGCAGGCTTAAAATATTCCCCTTTTAAATTGTTATTTCTCCCTATGTTTCTTGCTTTTTTCTCTTTTTCTTTTTTTTTGTTTTTGCCAAGATAGAATGATACACTAAAGCATGTTTTGCTAATTACAAAAGTACTTGTATAGGTCAGTTAACGAAACCACGCATCAATTTCTTGCTTTTAACGACTTTGGCAAGGAACTTCTTTTTGAACAATTCCCTGAAAGCCCTGAACTCGCGAGAAGATCGATTTTAAATTTCAAATGGCATGATTTGTTTAGTCACCCACAGAAATTGAAAAAATCAATATATCAATTAATCAATTAATTGAAAATAAATAAAATAAAATAAAATAAAAACGAAGGGGAGAAACTATTGACAAAATTGCAGAAAGGCCTCAAAAATTACAGCGACAATACTTACGCAAAAAACGTGATGAAAAAGTTAAGGATAAGAAATTTAGGCTTCTGAGTAAACGAAATCTGTGAAATAAAATTAAAAGAATAACTCATACCATTAAAAGGCGTAATAAGCGGTGTCCTGCCTGTGTGCAGAGCAGCTCTGTTCAGTGTCATGCCTTGCAGTGCAATAGACCCTTCGCATATAGCCATTCACGTGGTACACAACCGCCACGCTAAAGAGCAACAGACGGACTGGGAGAAGACAATTTACAAGACAAAAATCAATTACCATTTTTAAATGATGCAAGCTTTTTGTTTGTCTTGTCCCAATGGATAACTTTCTCTCTAGCATGGTGGTTTTGTACCACGTCAATTAATAGCTGCAAAGGGCCTATTACGAGCGCTGTTGTAAAATGAGAAGTTCACTGCCATGCAGTGCACGCGCAAGGCATTGGGGGATTCTCCCCATGACACCCTGAGTCCGTTAGCCAATACAAAAACTTTTCCAGCTAAGCAAGCATTTTAGTTTAAAGAAACGTTTCGACCTGTTTTGAGAAATGGTGTCTAGAGACTCAGTACGTTTATAGGAAAAGAACTTTCAGAACTGCAGCAATGAAAATCGTGAAATTTATATTTTTAGTCCGGTCTTAAACGAGCTGAAATATATCTGAGGCTAGAACACTGTGCTGGCCCGGTCAAGGCCCTAAAGAAAGTATCAGGGACCTTAAGATCCAAAGAAGGCAACGGCAACGAAAACGTAAAAAAAGCAACAGGTTTAGTACGCAAAACAACAACGTCGAACATGCATCACACTTTTCCTGTACATTTCTCTGCCGTCATTGCACGACTACAACATGAAAATGCCTAATTTCACGGTTTATGGAGGCTGGTAAACAAGCGGCGCCTAAATTTAATTTCCTTCTTAAAGGGGCTGTGTCATGGCAGTCCAGTTCAGTTTGCTTAATTTTGCCAATTACTCGCCCTCAATCACTTTGTAACTTAAAGTAAGCACAGAAATTACATGTAAATGACAAATATCAGAGATCAGAAACAAATAAATATGTCTCCTGAGCATTATTTATGAAGTTGCAAGCAGCAGGGATCAACTTTGAAAAACTGTTAGGCTGAACAGTTTTCAAAAACCCTAATTGCAATCCATTTCAATCTTCTTCAGTTTTGCCCATCCGTGGAATCTGTTGTTTCTGTTGTGTTATTTTAACCTTCCTTTAATGTTTTAGGTGGTTGATTTTATGTTTCTCTCAATTTAACGGGCATTTTGTAATTACCTACTTTGTCTGAATTTTGTGACAAAGCTCCTTTAACAAGGATATTGTTCTTTAAAATTCAACTCCAAGAGAGCTTGCCATTAATAATTGACAATTGACACTGTCACTTTATGAACTATGCTTACCTGTAGCGTAGTAAACTCTTTGATATTAAAGACAATAACTCTAAAGGCCAATGGGTCATCACCACCAAATATGAAGACTTCGTGAGAGAAGGTCTCATGAAAGTGGCCAATTCTTTCGTAGCTAAAGAGTGCTTCTTCGCGAGAGAGTTCTGAAACTAAAAATATTAGCTTTTTAATTCATGGACAGTTGTGAGGTCGCTTTTCTCAAAATCTTCACAAGGATTGTTACCACAAACCCTAAAAGTTCGGTAAGATGAATACTGAAAATGCGGTTTATTCCTGTGATGATTTTACTCCCAGAAATAAATTTCCTGTAATGGAGCTTGGAATATTCATTTTTCCAGTAATAAGTGCCAATTTCACAGTTACGGTTGGCAAAGCAACAACAACAAAAACAACATAAATAGATAAATAAATAAATAAATAAAAATTAATAAATGAGTAAATTAAATACAAACAACAGCAACGAAAGCAACAAACAAACAAAAACGATTTAAAAAAACTAAACTAAATAAAATGGATTAATGAATAATTAAAAACAGCGACAACAACAACAACAACAACAACAACAAAAACAAACGAGTTTTATCGGTATACTGCTTTCCATGTATGGTGTTTTTATGCCAGTTTTCGTTTGAACATTTCAGTTAGCGATACATTTGCATTTACTATAATTAAAGCTTGATTCTATTTTCGTCTCAGCTCTAGAATCTGATAAATGACACAGTTGCAATTGCTTAAGTCCAGTACCTGAGCTAATGGAGAGATTGAGAAGGGCCGAAGTACCCTCAGTCATAATTTTAACTTCAACTTCTACATCCTCGTCATCCTGTTAATAGATTAAAAGTCACAGCCGTTTACCTTGAAGCAACTCTAACCAGTAATAAACGGTTGCTCTTGGGGCATGGACAACCTCTCAACGCACGAAGGTTGAATTTAGAGAAAATTTAAGGGCCTAATGCCCTTAATTCCCCAGGGACAAAGCTAACTGTCCTTAATAATGAGGTGTCCGTAAAGGGCGGTTTGGCTGTATTAGGGAAACCAATTTCGTTACCCAGTGGATAACAATTTATCCAATGGATAGCGCTATCCAGCTTTTGAACAACTGGGGCCATGAAACTAGGGACAGACAAGCCTAAAAAACACCTTGTTTCAAAATAGTGGCAATATTACTTTTCTTTTGTATTTCCGTTTATTAGCCCTTTTTGCCTCGATTGCATCTGCAAAATCCCACAGAAATTTTAAATTGAAACGAGACATTTTGGGCCAAAAGAGGAGAGAAGTGTGACGTCACACAAATTCGAATTTGTGAAATTATGGGATTAGTTGACATATCCAGAAAGAACAAGATGGAAAATGTCCCCTTGTTAAAAATCAGTCCGTTGACATAAATCCCTCCAAAATTGGCTGATCGTAACCTTTATCATCCAGGCCTAATCATAGTTAGTACAGGACACAGGTTATCAAAGCCGGCAAACACCAAAGTTGAAAACAACGGTGCTGTAGTTGGAAGCTTCCTGACCTTGCACAATCCTTTGTTTTTTGTTTTTTTTGTTTTTCAAAAATTGTGACGCAATAATAAATTAATGCGACGTTTCTAATGGTCAATAAGCTCAAAATGATAGGAATGCTATTGTGCGGAGTCAGGTCCAAAAAAGCTAACACAAACATATAACAAAGAAGTCTAACGGGTTTCATAACCATTCCACTTTAATAACAATGGCCTAAAGAAATAGAAAGATGTATATAGAGTCTTCTGAGCATCACGGTGCTTATATCTCGTCACCAATTTGCACCAATTGATTTTCTTTTTCTTTTTCTTTCTTTCTTTTTTTTTCCTGTAACAGGGCTGTCACTAAGAGCTTGTGGCCGGGGATTTCCCACCTCCACCCCAAACACCTAACCACCTACTATGAGCGTGACCCTGGGTTACTTTTATAGGAAACAAAGGAAAAAGGAACCAAACCACAGCTTGGTTGTTCTAAAGCGGGTTAAATCCTAACGTCGGGTTAAATTGGCTTAACCCTTGGTCAAATTTTAACCGCAGATTTGTTGTGTTGTCCAAACATCGGGTAGCGAGAACCTTGAATTAAATAGGTTAAATAACTAACCTCAGAGGTATAAAAGTATATCTAAAACAAAATGGCTGGCTTGTTGTTTTCTGACTTACAACAACAGAGGAGACGCAGAGACAGTTCTGTTTGTTTGTTTTGAAGTTTTCTCTATACTTTCCTCCGACTTCTGACTCTCCTCCATGCCTACAGCGTTGTGTCGCCGTTATTTGGGCCCAATTTTTCCCTTCAGTTTGTCACACTTGTATGTCAACTTACTTTGCGAAATGTGCAAATTTTCTTTCACTTCTCGGTTAAAATCGCAATTTATGAGGCGCACAAGTCATGTTTTCTGGCTTGCGTATTTTCCTCCACCGTTCCCATTTTAGGACGTAAACAAACTAAAAGTATTATGGAATGCTAACCGCGAGTTAGTCGCGGTAAAACCCGAGGTTAACTAACCGGTCCTCTAACCGCACCTCCAGCAACGAAAGTTTGACCCCAGGTTACCCTAACCCGAGTTTAACCTGTTCAATTCCCGGCCGGATTAATCGCAAGTACCGGGGATAACAAGATACCTTCAGTTACTCTAATAGCGAAATGAGAAACCATTCAAAGGAGGACAAGCTTACCCGTGCTGGAATGTTTATAAAGGCGATGCTTGTTTTGTTTTCCGAAACATTGAACGTGAACTGGAAACCACTCTTTAGTCTGTCTGTAAATAAACAAGTTTAAAATCTTATTAAAAGGAAATATTTAAGTTCATTGACACATGCTCACTTCTTCAACAAATTCTCAAACTTACTGTAACAGTGTCCGCCGTTCGTAGCATTACCAACTATATCAGTTTCCTCTGAACAGCTGTGCGGAAAGAAAGCAAATAGATAATCAAATAACTGAAAAGGGCACACTTAAAAGACAGGAATATTTACATGGAAGTGGGGATAGGACTGAACTGGGCAACCCGCTCATGTGGGGTAACCCGTCTGTCCATATAACCACTCATTTTACTTTGATCACGTTTACATGATACTATAACATTGTATCATGTAAACGCGATCAGACCAAGCAGCAAAATGCCTATATTATAGGCAGGTTGCTGCTTGGTCTGCCAGACCGGGTAACCCTCTCAAATTTTGCAATGCAAACGTTCCAAGGTGTGGTACAGCAAAAACCAGCGAGTAAGTATCTGCATGTTCCCAATTCACAATTAGCACAAATTTAGGCTATTTGGGTTCTTAAATAGGTTCTTGATTATCCCAAGGGGAAAAATACATTGTAGCTAAGAGTATTTAACAGTTATTCCTCGAGCCCGAATGGGCTCTGAGTCAACAGCCCATGAGGACGAGAGGATAATTGTTTTAATAAAATCCAACTAGTTGGTCAAAAATATCGAGACAAAACAACTTTAGATAGAAAAACGCGATTCAGCCGCCATTGTTTTGGTTTTCAAAGCCTGCGCTTGTGGGCTATAACATATAGACCAGTAGTAGCTCAACCAATCAGAACGCAGCATTGATAAAAGACCACCAGTTGGATTTTACTAATTACTGATATCCGGCGAATTCCTCATATATTATCTGCACAGCATTATATTGCAGTTAGAGCGATAAGAAATATGTCTTCAAAAAGAATCCTGAATGTCGACTTATCTTTTTTGCCCAAGTGTACAGAATTTTACTGTAAAGCGCCTAGCTGAGGGTCGGATTAGTATTGCATCAATTCGCGCCAACTGCCCAGGGAATTGCATCATTATAAGTGACAACAGAAAGCCCTAGCACTGAAACGTTGTAGCAAGACCAGCAAGTGAGAGTAGAAGAGCATTAACCGCCATAACAAGTCGTTTGCCTGCCATTTTACAATCAGATGCGCTATCCAGATCTGGGTAGAGATGCGTCGTCAATATGAAATTTCTGCTGTCGTTCCTCAGACGCCATTTTTTTTGGGGGGGGGGGGGAGGGGAAGGGGGACTAGGGGGGGGGGTGGGGTCCAAAATGCTTTGCTCAGGCTAACTATTTTACGATTAGTTTAACATATTACTTTATTCTAAAACAGGGTCTCATCTGGCTGCATCAACACGTTTCTCAAATCTATTTTGATCAGTGATACGAAATTTCCTTCTCAAAAGTCCATCACGTTGATTTCCTCCTGTTGCTGAAGGGTAAAATTGAGTGTCACGAAACTGCTGTTTCCCTTAAAAAGACACACATTGCCATAAAGCCGCGGTCTTACACCTGCTAAAGCACATTCTTTCTTTATTTATTTACTTTTTATTTATCTATTTTTTTTTAGATAACTCACTTCCTTTAATTATCTAATTTCATGTTTTTTTTCCCCAGAGACCTCAAAGCTTCGCGGAATCCACAACGTCGTCGGATAAGTGAATTTCTGTGAACCACCAAGTGCAACGTCGGCTTAGAGCTTAATCACTCACCAACGGCAACACAACAAGTCGCAAGAGTGACCAACACCAATTTTCTCCTCACAACGTCAATACATTATCAAAAGAAAAGGTTAGGAGAGTTAAAAGAATTATCACCTCAGGGAAAAGGCTTTGATCTTTAACCAAATTCTCTCAACTAATTCTTGAAGGAAATGTATGGGGATCAGTTTGGAGAATTTGTAAGTGGATATCGGGGATTATAGGGTTAACAGTTTTACATTACACAACCAACCTTGCTTAATCTCTCTTGTACGGGATCTGTGACAGCTAAACTAACTTTGGCGAACGGTCGGCTAGCCATCACCTTCATCTCTTCAACACGATGCTGCAAAGAAATGGTTGATTACTTTACATCTCGAAAAATCAGATCTATGGACAGAATTGCTATGGTTTCAGAAAAAAAAAATGGAATCATAAACATCACTTTCCTGTATTGTGCAATTGAAATAAAGCTGTATGTTAGATACGAGAATCGTTTTCAATAAAGCCCTAGCTTCAAAAAGCGTGTACTTTGCCAATCCATTATACCTGTATTTAAATGCACAGTGAATGCACAAAGGAGTTCTCAAAAAACCGAAAAGTTGGTTGGAAAGCTTAGGGCTTGATTACTTACCGTGGAGTAGCTATCCAGTATTCTGTCGTATTTTGAATTTGTATCGCACTTTTGCGAA